GTTTGATAAACTGTCTAAAATTTCTATTCCTAGAGTAGAAAAGAACAGAAATGCATTTGGTAACTACACAAAATTTCTGTTCCCAAATAATATTTTAATAATATTTTGAATTGTTTAATTTTTTTTTCTTTTTACCCATTTTCTTCTTTGGCCGGCGACCAGCGGTCGGCAACCGGCCACAGCCCAGGGCCGGCGAGGGCGTCATGGCCCTCACCGGCCGCCGGCTGAGGCGAGGGTCGCCTTCGCCGGCGAGGGTCGCCCTCACCGGCGAGGGCGACCCTCGCCGGCCCTGGGCTGTGGCCGGTCGCCGACCCAGCCCAAGGAAGAACAACACAAAAATAAGAAAAGAAAAAAAAGAAAAAAAAGAAAAAAAACTGATTTTCGAAATTGTGCCGAGAAACAAGAAGCAACTTTTTTTTACTTCTTGTTTCTCTTCCAAAACTGTTTCTCGGCACAAATTTTTGCAAAAATGTGCTCAGGAACAAAAAGTTTACTAAACGCATTTCTGTTCCCAAACTATTTCTGGGAACAAAAGAATAGAAATTTTCACTATTTGGCACGTTACCAAACGGGCCCTAGGTGGTCCATCTCTATGAATGCAAGCAAACAGGTGTCTGCTCGCACCGACCAAGCTCCACATCCAATTCAAAAATGCCTTTCTGTAAATCGAACTAGTGCGAAACCTGTTGGGCATGGCGGAGGAGCTCGGCGGAGTAGGCGGGGTCGTGGCGGCGGAAGACGAGGGAGGCGGCGGCCATGGCGGCGGCAGTCTCCCCGGCGAGGTCCGACCCGGGGTTGCTCGGGTCGATCCGGTACGCCCTCCTGTCGGTGGTCATGTCCTCGGGCCTCTGCCAGCAGTAGTGGTCGCTGTTTCCATCCCCCACCTAAGCGACAATTCCAATATCGCATTCCCCAAACCGCATCAAAAGAAACCGTTATCAACATTTAATTCATAAACTAATGTTCAAACCAAATTGCTCTCTGTTTTACCTACAGAAAGAGCACAAGATAAATCCATTGAAAGCGACAGAGAGAAAGAGAAAGAGAAAGCAGAAAGATACCCCCATAATCAATATCAATGTATGTAATTATCAAACTAGATGGAGGCCCCTACTTGTTCATGCATCGATTTTGTGATTAGTTTGTGACTGAAGATTCATTTGAGAAAAGAAAGAAGAAGTTTCTGAATGAGTTTTGCTAACCTCTCCATAGAGGACATAGGGATGAGGATGGGCCTTGATGAAGTAGTCGGTGCCCCATTTGACGGCCTCCATGGCGTGGCCAAGCTCGCCGCTCTTGGCCATCTGCTTCCCATACTCCAGTATGCTCCACGACATCATCGTCACTGTGAACGCCATTGGCAGCCCAAACTTCACGTTGTCCCCTGCATCATAATACCCTCCCACCAGATCCACCTGTAGATCCCCCCAAAGAGAATAAACGTCCAAAAAGAAACAATCAAGTTCCGTTTAGCAGATTGTGTCGAATTCTTTTTTCTTTTGCCATTTGGTGATAAGGGTAGCCAAAAAAGGAGGAGAAAGTGCGACTTACTCCGCTGGCTTTGCCATCGTTAAGGCCAGAGTTGGCCCTCCAGGAGACCCTCTGGTTCCTGGGGAGATGGCCAGACCTCTGAGCTTCAAAGAAGAGGATGCTCTTGCTCAGAGCTTGCCCATAGTCATGACCACCAAGAACCATGGTGGGTATGCACAGAACCAGCACCAGAAGCAGAGGAGCCATCGAAATGGTGCCCCTCGCGAGCCTCTCCGTAATGTGACCGAAACTTCCCAGGAATGCCAAGTATTAGGAAACAGAGAGCGTTTGGACAGTCTTTGAGTTTGTAATGGGGAATCAGAAATGTGGGATGAAATAGTGCTAATGGGGATTATTCTTTGCTTCGAACGTTTCAACACAAACAAGAGCCCCAGCAAAAAAAGAAAAAAAGTGAAGTGATTGAAGTGAAGGAATGGCAATGTCGGTCTGATTTATCGGATAAATGTTCTGATAGACCCCCTCCCTCAGGAAGCAGAGAGACTACTTCTCGGTACTCACACGGAGTGAAAAAGAAAAAGAGTGAGAGGAACAGAGAGAGAGAGAGAGAGAGAGAGTTTGGGAGTGAGGGAGCGAAGAGCATGAAGTGACCCTTTATGCAGATGAGGAAAGGAAGGTCCTTTAATGCCCAGAAATTGCTAAATGGGGTCAATAAAAGCAATCTCTCTCTCTCTCCCTCTTTCCTTCCTTTTAATTTATTTCTCTCAACGAATTTATTGCTCTTTTAGGTGACTGCATCGGGAAACGGTTGAAAAACAGAACAGAATCATGTCGATGTCCCAGGTTTTTAGGATGCGTTTCGCAACTATTTTATTCTCAAAAATAATTTCTGTCCAGAAATCTTTATTCTATTCCAAAAAATAACTAGTTTATGGCTTTCTTTTTCCTTAAAAATTTGATTTTTATGCTGTGACCCCACTTCGAAAATGTCGATGTCGACTCTCCATCCCTCTTTCCGGGAAGCTCGCTTGGGGCTTTGGGATCTGAGGAAATTGGCCACTTTTTGAAATTTCGAATGCGATGCATGAGAGTGAGAGCCCAAGTCCTTGCTTTTACCCTTATTTACTGCAGAATGGAATGGGGTTGGGCCTCTTCTTTTCTTGTTTTTTTTTTCTTTTTAATTTTCAAATCAGAATCTGTTCACATGTCAGTTTTTTTGCCAAATCACTTCTTTCATTTCATCACCGCAATAAATGAAATAAGATATGAAGACAGATCTATAGGGGTGATTAGAATATAGAAATGCTTACGTGACTATCATTAATTTACTGTGAGAATAACAATATATTTTGGGACATAAAAAAATAAATAATAAATAATTATAAAATTATTGTGGGGTTCACTCCTTTAAGAATTTATGCATCGCAACATACTGATATTCCGACGGTAGCTCGAACAATGCTATGCTAGCAAAGTCCAAATATAATATGATATTATTTTGCACTAAATCTAGTGAGAGTCGAAGCTGTATCTTACTTCATGTCCACAAGTATTTCCATTCCGTAACCACTAAGGCTGCGTTTGGTCGTCTGGATTTCTAAATAGGATAGGACTGGATAGGATATGATAAGAAATCCTGGGATTTCTTCATATCCTGTCCACTGTTTGGTGGACTACGGATTTAAAGTCAAATAAGATAATTTTTTTTTGGCTATTCACGGGTTCGGAGGAGTCAGTGAAGGAAAAAAAGCCGAGAAATTTTTTGGGTGAAAGCGCACAAGGTGTGGGGATGAAGATGACAGCGAGTGGAGTGTAGGGTTTCTGGAAAAATAGGCATTAGAAATCCTATCCGGGTCTATCCCACCCTCCCACTGGATTTTTTTATCCGAGCTATATCCGGTCTATATCCGACCTTATCATATCCTGGACCACCACCAAACACAGGATAGGATAAAATATATCATATCATGGCTTTTATCCGGTCGACCAAACGCAGCCTAATCGTTTTCTTAATAGATTCTCTTCCTCCTTCCAAATGGCAATAATTTCTTTTTTCAATTTATATTTGAATTTAAACGATTGAGTTGCATTGATCAATTCTTTCTGAGCACGATATTCGACCCAACCTGGCCCAACACAATGATGCGGGCCCATATTACAAGTGAGCTCGGCCCGCTTAGTAAATTAGCTGAAGGTTCCGCTCAATAAATTGGCCTAATACTAGGTGTGGAAATATATTATGGGGATGCAAATAAGAGGCTTGAAAAGACTTCTTGCACGTTTTTCTTCATGCTACAGCACTGATGAATAATACATTGCTACAGTAATAAGATATGACATCAAGAAGTTTGAATTTCATCTTCTTGGATATCATTTTGTAGTTGAACCAGATATGTCTTCTTTCTCCCAAATGCTGAAATTCAAATAAAAGCAAATTTCTTATCCTCAACTCTTCAAATGGGTAGAATGGTTTTCAAAGTTGCAGAAATTTCCTGATGAGAATCTTTCTCTCAAACGTATTCAACGATTTTGTTCGATGAAAGCATGATTTGGTAGTTAAATATTTTAACATGTATATTTTCAGAAAAGTTGGACACCCTAAAGAGGTTTTATCAGACGGACCGGTGTGACAAAAGGAAAAATACTTATTCATGCTTTGTTCGCGAGGGAGGAAAAGTTCAGGAGGAAAACTTCCCTGCCCCGTTCTTCTCACAACCCGGTACCCGAAGAAATCGTTAGTCTTGCTCTTCGCTCCGGTCGCCCACAGTATCGAGCGCAGATGTAGTGACGATGGTGATTATAAGCGACTAAACAGGATCTTCACAAATTAAATGCGTGCATACTACTCTAAGTTAATATGCGGGCCCATATTACAAGCGGGCAAATTATCAAAAGGTTTAGGACTAAATTGACACAATTTAAAGGTTCGTGACTAAATTGGCAAATCGTCAAAATGTTTAGGACTAAATTGGGCAAACTGAAAAGTTTAGGATTGAATTGACACATGTGCAATAGGTTTAAGACCTTTTCGATAATTTCCCCCAAAAATTTGTGACAATTTACGATTTAAATTGGAGAGGCAATTCTGCAACCGTGAATGGCTTTTGCATAGCCAAATTCATGAACAAGGTGGTGAAGGGGCATCTTTAACAAGGTGATTATTACATATGGGCTTCATGAGCTCCAAAAATCCAGAGATAAAAAGGAAAAAAGTTGTAAATGAATGGATTCAAGGATAAGTAGACCTCTTTTGCTGATCCTTAATTAACAAGGCAAAGCACTCGAAGCATTCTATTGAAGGCCATCACATGCCTTCGTTATTGAGACAAATTCCAACTTCATTTCCCTACTTCGTACTATGAGAAAACAAGAAAGTAAAACACACCAAAATGAAAAGGCATTGAGAGTGACTGCCAGGACTAAACAGGCCAAAACACCTTGAGATCTACTCTGCAGCATGTGCTAAGACCGACGAAATCCTTGCCCTGGTCAGCCGCCGCATCGGCATCGCTTCACGATGAATAGACGGGGACCGCCATCTTCTGGTTGGCGAAGTCGCAGTGATACGAGCAGATGAAGTACCATGTGCCGGCGCTCGTCAGTGTTATCTCGTCATGGCCACTGGTAAAGGTCCCGTAGTATGTACTCGTCGAGCATGTGTTGTACCCATTTGCATCAACAGAGACCACGTCATGAGCGGTGTTGTCATAGATGAATACTGTCCATTTACATGAACGCTTAGAACCGGTTCAGTCGAAGCCATAAACACAAAAAAAGAAATGACGACATGCTCCCATTCATCCTATTGCCGTTATTCAATTTAGAAACTGACTGTTCGATTTATCCAAATCACAATCGAAGTACAATCTGGACAAACTAAACATGATAAATGACATGCACGTAGTCATTCGGCATCGGTAAGTGATGTCCATGCAGATTGTATGTGTAGACATGCCGCTTCAGCCAATTCGTGAGAACATGCATTTCCTACTCTTATAATGACAACGGCAAAATCGATTACCTAAAACATCATTGACATAGAAAGTCTTGTCGGCGACCCACGTATCGAGATCAATATCATAAGACCAGCCGAAATCGTCCCCTACATTATATGAAGCGGCATAGCTCAAGGATGGAAGAACCAACACCAACATCATCACCACCGCCGCGACATTGAGAAAGCACTTTCCTGGACGTGCCATTTCCGAGCTATTGTGGGCAGTGAAGTGTGTTTTCTATGGAGATAAGAAGGTGTTTCTTGTGCGTCTGTGTCTGTGTGTGATTGCATTTATGTACTGTCAGGCTTGCTCATACTTATACTACACGAGAGGGCAGTTCATTACGCTTGGTGATTTCATGCATTAAGTGATTACCCATTGGAAAATGCTTTGGTATACTCGCCATGGCGATGAGATAAACAATGCAGAAATTGGCTCAAAGTGGGTCATCCTTTTCTGTAGATGGCGGTCGAGTCATAAATCCTAAAGCTCATACAGTCAAAAATCAAACTCTTTCAGCTACCGGCCGGGTCCATAGGGATTGCCGATTTTGTCGACCCATTAAGAAGGATCACGGCGAAAATTGTCCAAAAAAATTATAAAACCTATTATATTTTTGCCAATTCAATCATAAACTTTCCAATTTTGCCAATCGATTCCTAAAACTTTTTCACATTTTGTCAATTGAGTCTATCCAACCAAAGTATCGATAATATGTAACAAATTGTAATTCAACCTTTGAGAAGGTAATTCTGTGACTCCGAATGATCATGCATCACAAACATATTGAAAAAAAATGTGGAATGTGATAAAAAAGAGTTTATGAAATGTGACAAGAAAAACGGATCAATTTGGTCCTCGTTGAGCTTCAAAATCCATACGTTAACTGACAAAAAAATGGTAAACCGATGGCAAATTGGAATCCAACGGATTCAAGGATTGATCCAAGCTCTCTTCTTGATACTGATGAGTGAGGCAATTCCAACTTCATTTCCCTTCTTCTTAATATTTTCAAGTCTTCCCGCAAATTTTAACTAAACAAGATGAAGAGAAGGAAATTGGCCAATCACCAGAGAATCACCAAGTGTAATCATGGTTCTATTGGTGAAAACGAATTAAAAGATCATCCCTCGTTCAAACCAAACGGTAAGGATTTCGAATATTTCAGAGAACCTGGTAAAGGCGGCATTCAAAGCAAAGCCTAGTGTAGAGATCAGTAAACATTGCGTCAAGCGGGTGAAAATGAAATGAGAATTTGCAATTTGATTGAATCAATCAGAACCATCGTCTCCATATACACCATTACTAGAATCCAGATCAATCACAGCTTGTTTAGTTTTCGGCAATCGACCAGACGGTTTCAAAGGTTTCATAGGTTTCTTGACCTTCTCTGCCTGCAATTCCAGCCCCTTCTCCGAAGGCCTGCGTTTTCTTTTTAATCGCGCTCCGTCTGTGTCCTCGGCAGTTGAATTCTCCATGGCTGCATAAGTTAGACAAGTCAGATGAAAAATCTTTCAGCCACACATGAACTCAGAGAATGACAATCTATTAACTTCCCCAAAAGAGACAGAACACAAAACAGCCTAAGCATCACTTTCCTTTTACATGCTTAAAAACCATTAATCACTTATTTTGAAATCACATTTTCATCTACAGATTCCTGCAACTTGATTACTACCCCTCCTCCGAGACTCTCCTTTGCCCTCCTCCGTAACATCCATTAATAGTGTGCCTATATTGTCAGCTAAATTTTCATCACACATACTCAATGTAGTCTTTTCTGCCTCTATGCCATGTCAGAGAAAAAAATGCATTACCAAGATTCCTAGCAGTTGCTAAGCAAATCTAGAGGTGAGCAATATATCATGCAGACATTAAGTCAGGCATCTGCTTTAGGTAAGAACAATAGTCACAGGTACAACCTAATTGCTATATTGCAGGAATTGACAGGAAAATCCGGTCTGCTGTACAAGGGAAGCATCTGAACACTTGGAAAATACAGCAAGCGGGGAAAAGAAAACTTACGTTCGAGGGGGCTTGAATTATGGTTGCTCCCATTTCCATTCTGACCAGCCTCTACTGAAAGTGGCGATCCAGAATGGTTACCATCTGGCAACTTGGAATAACTGCCAACACACTTGTCTTGCTGCTCGGGACCATTGAGACAAGGAACTGCATGCAAAAAGCACAGTTCCTCCTGGGACATATCTGAGTCACTAAAAGCTGAATCCTCTCCACAGTCAGAACATCAACTTCATCATCTTCATGAACATCTGGTTCTTTCACCTGTATGCATACACATTCAATAATTGTTAACCTTTCAAGCAAAATAAGCCGAGCTCATAATCTGCTCATTTACCTTTTCAGTTTCAGGCACCAAATCAAATTCATCTTCTCGTTCGACTCACTCCTCATTCTCCTCAAGCTCTTTGAAATCTGGAGCAAACGCACTCCAGTTTTCAGTATAGTCTTTAGCCCATATATAAACCAAGCCAGTCAAAGAAACAGAAATGATAATCGGATGAACAGGATGCCATGCCAAATCCATCAATGCTTCTTTTGGGCCTTCAAGAATTTTAACAAGATGCCCGGCCCTATCCCATATATAAATTTTGTGCTCTCCTCTACTTGCAGCACCACCAATCGCCCACTCTCCATCACCACTAAAACAAGGTGCTTTCCACTGGACCCTAGTGATGGAATCTTGAAACTTATGGAGAAGTTCCAAGCACTTCGATCCAACAGCCTTCAATTTCTCCACATCATCTGGTTCACTGAAGCTCTCATTCAATTCATCAAGCATCTTTAATCCATCATGGGAGATGATGAGAAAGGGCAGGCCAGGCAAATAGATGGAGTCGAGGAACCAGGATGAAGACGAGCTTGTAGAACTGTATGCTGCAGAGTTGTATGTGCTATCTTCTCTCCACTTAGAACATCCCAAAGAATAAGAGATTTATCAGAAGCAGACACAAGTATGCGGTGGCCATATGTGGACCAGCAGACACTCGTAATTGCAGCAGTGCATTCTTTGTCCCGGAGCTCTTTTGCGACGCCCCGGGTCTCAAAGTCCCATATAATGCGACTTCCATCGGTGCATCCAGCTGGAAAAGGAAATCAAACTGAGTATGATTCACTGATCGAAGAAATAGCACAATCAAGAACCACAGTGATTCCTTCATCGAACAACAGACAGAAAAATCCTTAATTTTCAAAAGAAGCGCCAAAAAAAAAAACTCAAACAAAGATGCAGATATTTACAGATCACACTCCCTGTTTTGATCACAGGACTTCCAGAGCCAGCATAGAGTAAAACGAATGCTAAAATTTATGAATAGGACTTGCAAATTGCATTCAATCAAGGAACTATAATTACTTCTCCAGATTAAAATTAGGGACCAGCACAGTCACTATAATTACTATTTGGAAAGCTTACCGATCATCAATTTACTATCGCATTTTAAAAATTGGTGATGGAATATTACTTTAATCTTTTCTGAGTTGGCGAGCTTACCGATCATCAATTGACGCACTTTAAATGTCCTAGGACTTACCATAATCATCTACTTTAATCTTTTCATTAGCTCCGTTAGTTTTTAATAGATGAAAGCTTAAGCGACATTTTTTCCATCAAGAACCACGTAAGAATGAAAAATAACCCGCGTGGCATTTTCCGTCCACTTCGTTTTAGCATAATTAAATGGAGGCGTTTTAAAGGAATTAAAAAGAGGCCTCAAGTACATCAAAGTTGCGAGTTTTAGGATTTAAATGCTTGAAACATAAATTTTTAGGTCTCAAGGACTTGCTTTATGATTGTCCCTAAAAAATTCAATGCAACTCCAAATGTCATCAACACATCAACTGAATTGAACCGCGAAAATTCGACAATCAAAGCAAGTGAATCGCAACATTCACTTCTTCCTCGGTCTTTCCAATAGGTAACCTGGTCATGGAAAACTTGGAGCACTTCTGATGAAGTTTTGCGTTTTCACTAAATTGGTTTCTTCCTTTTCTGTTTCTTCAATAAAACCTTGCATTCATGATAAGAAGAAGTTAGGAATTATCAAAAATCAATTCCAACTGGTGGCTGATTCAGTATGCTAGTGTCATTGGATCGATTGGCTTCATAATAATATTAAGTATGCAAACTATGCTGTTCATCAAGCTAATCCATTTGGCTTTGAATACCAAAGAATAAGGCCACGGGAAAAGCACAGTGAGACTCGTCAAGTCCTCGGGAACTTGGTGAGGTCGCTTGACATTCCTCGGAAAATTTCTGCTCAACTCTTTTACAGAAATACGAGGCCAACTTCTTGAGTATCGACTGATGACCGAACACGATGAACAAGGAATAAAGTGAACACAAATGTTTGATAAATTCGACCCATCTGACTTGCCCCCAGGACTATATGCCAAGAAGTAAGCGGAGGGCACAACACTTACTAGACTTAGTTTTACTCTGTACTAAAATATATTTTGGGTACATGCATCGACTCCACAAAAACCAAGCCTCAGTAGCTTCAAAACCAGCCTCAAAATGAGTAATCCTTCAAATCTGCTCGCGAGTCGTCCAAGTCCATGTCGGTCATGCACTCTTCCGCTGAGAGAGGGGGGAGTTGCCCGGTCTTCCGCTTCAAACTGTGCTTGTGCCTGTCACGCCCCGCACCCTACGAGCGCGCGATTATCCCGCGATGGTCGATCATTGAACGCGACGTCCCAGGACGCGCCGCCGACCCAACCCAAACATCAGAGATTAGGCACGCGCGGAAGCAAATAGAAACAACCCGGACAATTAATAATGACAAGGGGTAACAATAGCACAAAACAATAACTGTAATTCCTACACTTGGCAAATACATACAATGCTCATCAAAAGGGACAATGGTTCGCGAACTTAACTCCTCTACAAAAGGGGAAACTCAAAATACGGGACACTCGACCCGTCCTCGATCTCCGAGATACCCTTGCAGCGTCTCCCATCACTCACGGTCGCGGATCTGAAATGGTTATATAATAACCGTGAGAACGAGTCTCAATAAGCAACCCCCTATACCCCACGTAGGCCAATGCGTACCCAGACAAGTCGTACATGCAATCTACCCCATAACATATATAGTTCACATCATTGTACTTACCTTGCCCTCGAATCACGAGCCAACCCTGCATATTAGTCCAAACATGACAATGCAAGAATAGTTCACCACCATATCACAATCACCCGGCACACACGTTCCCACTCACATTCAACCAATTCAACCAAGCAACCACACGTACATTTAACCAATCCAATCAATCACATCGCACACACGTGTCCAACCAACTTTCCTCTCACGGACCACCGTCAACACATCTCAAGTCCGGTCTCACAGGCATACAAGCCACACAATTCGATCAATTTCAATGGCCGCCGTCAACACGTCCCAAGCCATACCATTCAATCAATTCCAGTGGCCGCCGTCAACACGTCCCAAGCCACACTTTCCTTTCACGGACCGCCGTCAACACGTCCCAAGTCCGTAGCCCTCCAATCAATCCGGGCTCAAATTCCAATGACCGACGTAAACACGTCTCGGTCCAACACATCTTTAACGGGCCACCGTCAACACGTCTCAAGCCCGAATCCATTTGGCACATCGGCCATTCATGCCTTCACACGGACCGCCGTCAACACGTCCCAAGTCCGTAGCCCTCCGATCAATCCGGGCTTAAAATCGACAGGCAAGCACACGCCAATCAATTAAATCAATTTCACGCCAATTGCATCAAACAACCCATAATCACAACTCAGTCCAATTCACAATTCGCCACCTCAGTCCACAAACCCGACGTTCAAGTCGGCCACACACCATTACCCGAGTCAAGCATATCATTTAATCCAATTTAAATAGCGCAATTGTAACATAATATAATTAAATTAAAACACGCCCTAGCCGTTCTAAACCCGAGACAAGTCAATAAAGTACCCAAAATACTAGGTAGGGTTTAGGAAGTCACTTACTTGGTTTTGGCCCGGAGAAAAACGGCTCGGGCCTAAAATGGCCCGGGTGAACAGTGCCGAACTAGGCGCGGGCGCGGGCCAACGGGCGCGCTGGCCGGCCAACACGAGCACGGTGGCCGATCGGCGTGCCTGGCGCGCGGGCGCGGTGACCGAACGGCGTGCTCGGGGCGTACGGCCGAGCGGGATGGACGACGTGCCCGGGCGACGGGTCGGCTTAACGGGCAATGTGCTCGGGCGACGGGCAAGGCGATGGGCACGACGGGCGAGCGGGCGCGCGGCTTGGTCACGTGGGTAACGGGCCGGCCACGGCTTGGGCAAGCCCGGCACGATCGGGCTGGCCGGCCGGGCTGGCCGGGGTGGGCCTGGGCCGGGCGGCCTACTTGGCGGCGCGGCGGCAAAGCCAGCGGCGGTGGACGGAGCGGCACGGCGCGGCGAGCCGAAGGAGGGAAAGGTCAGCCGGGGGTGAAGGGCGAGGGGGAGAGAGAGAGAGGGGAGAGAGATCGGGGCGAGGGGAGAGGAGCGAACCGGCGGCGATGGGGCGGCATAGTGCGGCGGCGGCGACTGGCGATGCGGGGCCGGCCGGCGAACGGCTGAGCAGCACCGGCGAGCTGCGGGCACGGTCGCGAGCTAGACGGCGGAGCGGGCCGGCGAGCGGTGACGACGGGGATGACTGGGTGCGCGGCGGTCACGGGGGCGAGCTCACGGCTCTTGCGAACAGGGGGAGGGGAAAGGACAGCTGGTCGGGGAGGCGACCGGCGGCGGTAGGGACGACGGCGGCAACGGCCAGGCGCGGTTGGACAGCGCCGGGTGCGACTGGTAGCGGCGGCGAGCTCGCTGCTACGCGCGCGAAGAAAGAAACCAGCCGGTCGGGGGCGGCGGCTGGCGGACGGTGCAGCGCGGTGGTCGAGCTGCCTGGCGACGGCGGCGGCGCGCGACGGCCAGGCGAGCTCAGGCGGTCGGCGTCGGGCAGCAGGGAGAAGGAGCAGAAGCAGTCGGGCCAGAGAAGGGAGAAGGAAGAAGAAGAAGAAGAAAGGAAAGAGAAGGAAAGGAGAGAGAAGAAGAGAGAGGAGAGAGAGAAGGTCTGACAGGAGGGGGAAAAATGCGCGTGAAGGGACACGTGCATGGGGGGCCAACGTGCGCGGGGAGGGAGAGGAGAGAGAGAGAGAGAAAGGACCACAAAGTCAAACCTAATGATCGCGATCCGACGGCCCATGTTCGAACTCGAAAACGATCTAACGGTCCATAAAAATCCTAATTAATAATTTAGGAAAAATGGCCAAAAGAAAATAACCCAAAACACACTACGAGGGAGGTCTACTAGTCCAAATCCGCACCCGGTCAAAAATTCACTTTTCACATATCCCAGGTAATCTCGAGACTGGCCACAATAATATCGACACCGTCCAATTAAATTCGTCCCGAAACTCCAAGAAATTCGACACCAAAGTTTGGGCTCTAAATAACGGCCAAATTCGATCGAGTGCGATTCTAGCGAAATCTCAATTTTAAAATAATAACCGGGAGTGATCAGTTCCCGGGCGAGATTTTTACTATAATCACACTGACGAATTACACGTTTTATAAATCCCAAAAATGGGCCAAAATCCGGAATGTCACAACTCTTCCCCCCTTACAAAAATTTCGTCCTCGAAATTTGCAATCCAACTCAACTATACAAACAAGTGGGGGTACTAGTGTCGCATTAACTCTTCACTTTCCCACGTCGCACCTTCGGTCTCATGGTGCTCCCAAATTTCTTTGACCATCGGAATTTTCTTGTTCCGCAATACTCTTTCAATTTTGTCCTCAATCCGAATTGGCTTTTCCACGTACGACACCCTATCGTCCATGTCTATTTCTTCATGGCTCAGTACGTGGGTCGGGTCCGGTTCGTACTTCCTCAACATAGACACGTGGAATACATTATGAACGTGAGATAAATTTGGCGGTAGCG